AGCGCGTTGTGTGTGACGTCTTTTCTGCATGCGGCCGCTTTGAGCGTTCACACTAGAGCGCGTTTGCTGTCGCATTTTATTTGTAGTGTGAACAAGCAGACAAAAAAAATCGGAGTGAACGTAGCCTAAGTGAGATTGCTGTTTATTGATTACAGTTCAGCATTTAACACAATAGTGCCTGGTAGACTATTCACACAGCTGAGGGATTTAGGACTCATCAGTTGTCTGTCTGCATGGGTGCTGGACTTCCTCACTGGCAGAACTCAGGTGGTGAGGCTGGGTTGGTGCATTTCTGACAGTATCGCCATCAACACGGGAGCGCCACAGGGGTGTGTACTCTCTACTGCTCTACTCCCTCTATACTTTAGACTGTGTGGCCACCCACGGCTCCAATACCATTGTGAAGTTTGCTGACCACACAGTGGTGTTGGGCTCCAATAACAATGAGGCGGCCTACATGGATGAAGTGAAGAATCTGACATCGTGGTGCCAGTATAATCACCTCCAGCTGAATGTCGGCAAAACCAAGGAGCTTGTCGTGGACTTCAGAATGAGTCCGCACAAAGCCCATTGTCATCAATGGAGCTCCAGTGTAGAGGGTGCAGTCCTTCAAGTATCTCGGTGTCCACATTTCCTCAGACATGACATGGTCTGCCCACATTCAGGTCCAGTCTGAAAAGGGTAGGCAGCGCCTGTATCACCTCTGACAACTGAGGAAGTTCGGCTTCGCTCCAGTGATCCTCTGGACTTTCTATACAGGCGCTGTGGAGAGCATCCTCACACAGAACATCACATCCTGGTGCGGGAACAGCTTTGCCAAAGACCAAAACATTCTTCAGAGAGTGATCTGTACGGCTGCACGACTGCCCTCCCCTCCCCACAGGACATTTACACCAGGAGATGCTGGTCCAGAGCAGCTCAGATATGGAAGGACCCGTCCCATCCCAGCAATAAACCTTTCCAACTTCTGTAATCAGGCAGAAGGTTCAGAACCATCCAAGCAAAAACAGAGAGGCTCAAGAGGATTTTCTGTCCTCAGGCCATCCATGTGTTGAATCAGGACATGCTTATGACTGTTTACTTTTTAATTTACCAATGGGTTAATTGTCTTTCATACACTTTAATACAGAAAATCTTTAAAGACTTACTACATAAAAATGTTAGTAGATGTGCAGGAAAAGCCAACTGTGTCACCTTGTGGTAAAAATGCTGCTTTGCTCAGTGGGCGAAACATTCAATCAACAGGGCGCTCAGTCTTGTGCAGCATACTTTTCACTGCTTCGTTATGAACAAACTACAGTTATTAAGAATATTTCTGTAAGACCTGCTTATGTTTGTTCTTGTTGCTACTTGTAACATAAGTGGATTTTAGTGCTTTCTGTTTCTGTTCTTTTCTAGCAGCTAATTAAGGACTTTGTTGCCACCATCAAAATGTAATTCACATGCTAATTTGATAGGCTAACCCCCTATGGTACTTAGGGATTACTTGAATGAATAAAAAAATAAAAGCAAATAAAATCTAATAATTACAAAGAAGAAGAACAAACCAGAAACTAGTTAACAAACTTAAAAAAAAAGTTTTTTATATGTAGCTTAAATATGCTAGTGACCATAGAGGTCATTTAGATAGGCGTCACATTAGCCGTTGACTGAGAGGGTGTGCCTCACTTACCAAGAGATCTTTCTTCCTTAGAAGCTTGGAAGATGAAGACATCGTAGTCAAGGCTTGAGCATAGTTTAAGGCCACAATGAAGAGGTCAAGGGTCGGAGATGCCTGATTGTTTGATTGTTTCCGCACTCTTTCAGCGGTT